TCATATTAAAATCCTTCACGTCTCGGAGTCAGTCAGATCCATCACTCATCTCTGGAACGAACACAACCTACCTGCTCAGCGTCAACTGTAACCGCCAAAAGCTATATCTGTGTTCCAGTTGTGCTCATCACCAAACCATTCCAATTTCCTATTAATCTAAATCAGTTGACTTTGTACCCTCCCCCCTTAAACTACGCACTGACGTGGGTTACAAACCAAATGATTTTCAGGTTGTTTAGTAAGATACTAATTTTCCACCCTGTTGACTGTAAATGGAAAAAAACAACCCCTCACCAACTTGAAATTCAGCCCCCTCTCTAACCCTTGGGTGTGTTGTCTGCATGAGGTTCTCCTCTCTGTCTCCCAAGGAACTACTCTGCTAACCTCTCCCTTGAGCACCACTGTAAGATGGAGGGGAAATCAGAGATGGGAACGGCTAAACTGTGCTTAAGGGGGATAGGCATTGCCTCTAATATGCTACTCCTTCTCTAAATTCTCCTCCAGTCTGTTCCATGACCAGATAACAGTTAAGGCAGATTATATCTGCACCGATCTCCTCTTCTACCCAACTTTCTAGCTGTCCTCACCTATCACTTGTCTGTGCAGTTGATGTAAACGACCACTCCTAATATTGTAATACTATGTGGTATCTCATCAGTTGAGTTCTATGGGTTAACCAGGAATATTACACAGAACATTCCGTTCTGCTAAACTACCAGCACTGCTAGACCGAAGGCACCGAATGCATTACAATAACCCTCCATGTTATCACTCAGTCTCACCAAATAATCTCCTTGATGGGAGCTGGATACATACCTCCATTACACACGTCTGTAAAAAAAAAAATCCCCATTATTAAATTAACCTGTTTCCTGAATGCTCTTCCATTGCACATCTTCTGGAGGAAAACGGCTAAACCCAGACTACAGTTCTTGTCTCTATTTATTTTAGGATACAATTAGCAGACTGCATTTCATAACTTAAAGCACTGCCAACATTTCGAATCAGAAGTCCAGGGATGTCACCCACTATGTAACATTTAAAGCATGGGTAGATTTTGATAAGCCATCAAGTCAGGAGAAAAAAACAGGCCTTTTCCAAGTAAGCAATGGCTTAGCAATTGTGGAAATCTCAGTTTAACAGGAAGTTACTTAATTGCTGAGAGACTCAGTTCTGATCAGGCAGCATTTGTATGTGGATAGAACCTCCATTTGCCAGGATGTCTCAAATTGTAGAGAAATTTTATTTACCTGATATTTTGTTTCAAAGATACATTTTTTAAAAAGGGAAGCTGACAATTAACCACAGAATTTAGCCACAATTTGCAGTTTTAAATGTGTCTGGGGTGTAGACGATTAACTAATTAACCGATAAGCAAAAGCTTATAGGTTAAAGCTATAGACTACACACATTTCCTCCTTTCTTCCCCAACCAGAAATTTTTTTAGCAGGCTGGCCAGCAGCCTGCCTCAGTTCTGGCTCATGCCAGGTCCAGGACTTACCCCACTATGGCCCTGCATTTAAAGTGTATTAGGAGCCGGGTGGACAGTCAGCCCGGCTCAGTTCCGGTTCACGCTGGGTCCGGGAGCTCAGAACCCTCTTACCCGAAACAGGAGTTGCCACCACCCTGCACTGCTGCCTCTTTATCAGAGGCAGCAGCACAGAGAAACAAGAAGCCGGTCCACAAGAGGAGCTGGTTTTTAAACTGGCTCCTCTCGTGGACCAGCTCCTGCCTGGCACCCCGACCTGCTGCCAGACCCACCCCAGAGACTACAGAATAGTCGACTAACCGATAAGAATTCATGAGGTTACTTGACTATTCAATTAATTGATATTTAACATCCCTAGTTTGTGCTAAGCTTAAGGGAAACTTGCTGAACTACTCCTGGAGCAATATACCCAAGAAATGGCTTTTCTATATTGCTTTGAGAGCTTTATTAAAGTAATATTTGTAGAACTACACTTGATTAAAATTAATGAATATTCAGTCGTCTTTTATGATGCAGGAAATGTACCCGGGGAACTTCCATGGGACATCACAGTTCTCTCCCACTCTTGTATCAGCTGAGTTAAACTTTTAGAATTGACCTTGCACCCTGTGATGATTCACAGAATCTACAGTCAGAATAATCTGACACCTTGCATATCAGATCATGAAACTTTCCCAAAATAACATCTGTTTGAACTAGAGAATACCACTTTGAAAAATATCCAATCTTGATTTTTAAATGTGTAATGATGGCGAATACATGACTATCCTTGGTACATTTTTCCTGGGGTTAATTAACTGTTAAAAAAAGTTGTGCCTACCTTTCAGTCTGAATTTAACTTCAATTTCCAGTCACTGAATTGTTATATGTTTGCCTGCTAGATTTAAGAGCCTGTTAGCAAATCTTTGTTCTCATCTAGGTATACAAACTATGATCCAATCATCCCTTAACCATTTCTAATGCAGATAAACAGATAGAGCTCCTTGGATATATGGCATATTTTCCATTCCTTTCATCATTCTTGTGGTTTTTCTCTGAACCCTCTCCAATTTGTCAACTTCCTTCTTGAATTTTGGACATCAGAACTGTGGTCACCCCTGTGCTAAATATAGAGCTAACATAACCTCTCTACTCCTCCTCAAAATTCCCCTGCTCAGAAATCCAAGAACAGCATTAGTCCTCTCAGCCATGGCAACACATTGGATACTTATGTTTTCAGCTGATTATGCACCATGAACTTTTTCATAGTTCCTTATCATGTACATATAGCCTACATTTCTTAGTCCTACTTACATAACTTTACAGCTGAGTATATTAAAAGGCACATTTGCTTGCTTGTGCCCATCATACTTAGCATACCAGATAACTCTGTACCAGTGACCTCTCCTCTTCATTATTTACTGCTTCCTTAATCTCTGTGTCATCTGTAAATATTATTAGCAATGATTTGGTGTTTTCTTCCAGGTAATTATAAAAAACATTAAATGGCACCGTAGGGCCAAGAACTGATCCTTGTTTAACCACTAGAAAC